GATCAATGCTTTGAATTTATATTTGTTAAAGACGAAAATGTGTGTGTGTGTGTGTGTGTGTGTGTGTGTGTGTGTGTGTGTGTGTGTGTGTGTGTGTGTGTGTGTGTGTGTGTGTAGTCTCACATAAATAAGTTGTAGAGTAAGGTATTGTTGTTTCAGAAATGGATGGGAGTTTTTCCGCAACTCTTAACCAAAAATCTTCTAAGGACCTCGTATTAAAATCAGTTTGTAACCCCGAGTTTAATAACTCAACAAACTTTTGTGTTTTTAAGGGCAAATGAGTGATATTTTCAGCAGACACTTTGAACGATATTACAAGAAACCCAGACATTTACAGTAAAGTATTTTTTAAAGATTCTCTCAAGGCACTAATTGCTTTCAACAACTCATCTTTTGGATGATCCGTTTCAGTATTTTCGCATAAAAATTCACTCATTGCGACGAACTTTTCTAACGATTCTTTGTACATCATGGTTGGATTTCCATAAAGTAATCTTTTAGTTAAAAGCATCAACTCAAAAAAAAATCAAAAAGTTTTTCATTGAATATATTTTATTATTTGGGTTGTGACGGATCTATACGTGACCTTCAACTAACAAATCCTTTTGGGTATTCTTTTGGGCAAGCAAGTTTTAACCAATCTTCTTCTAAAGAAGGTAACGTGATATGCAAATTAATTTTATTATATATATTCCAAGTTCGCGAGTTTAGGAGTTAGTGAGCTGTGAGTGGATTAGAAGTGAAGAGATTAGTGAATAGTTAGTAAATTGGCAGTGAAGAGAGTAGGTAAAAAGAAAGTTAGAAAATCAGAAGTTTAGCTAACAAGAGGTGACAAGATAGTTACAATGTGAAGATTACCAAAATTGGTTTAAAAGACCTTGTAAAGGATTACAGCCAGGATAATAGAATTAATTACAATTTATTAGAAAACTGACTAAAGTTAGGTACTGCTAACTTCATATTAAGTTGATGATTAAAGTGTTAAAATTGCTAGGCGGACATTAAATACTTAGATTCTGTGCAAAGCAATATTAAAAAGGACCCACATTATTATATGTATCTCCCCAAACACGAATCTCGTCTCTTTCCGCTTTTGCTTGACTGAATTACCTTATTTAGAGTGTTATTTGTGTTTAAGTTGTATAAAGTAGTAAATAAAATAGTTGAAATTTATTATGTGGAATGATCCTTTATTTCCTCCCACACCTTTAGCCGGGTCACAGGGTAGACAGGAATTGCGCTCTTTTTATGGTTATATTTCAGATTTCACATGTTAAACTATTTATTAATGAGAGCAAGTTATTTTATGTAAAAAGGCATAGTAAAAACCTTAAGATTTTTGGTGATCTCTGCTGCAAGTCACGTGATCCTATTTCGGGTCAAGGCCCCTAGTTTAAAAAACACTCCTGTAATTTAAGGGAATGAACTACAGTGAAATACGTTTAAAACTAAAACGCTTAAGACGAAATATTGGAAAACATAAAGTAATACAACGGTCACTTCAAACTACTATGTATTTTCCTGCATGCTTTTCTCTTAACACGAAACGACAACCGCTTAACACGAAAGGATTTCCCTACTATGAGGCGAAATTTAAGAAGGGTATGAAATGAAAGGAAGGTCATTTCGTAGAAAGAAGGCAAACTTGGCTTTCAAATACACTCTGAATAGCTTGTGAAAGGAGCCAATTTTATTTATCTAAGCTATTATCACCCTCCAACCCCACAAGGGCCATGCTAAGACATCCCATTTCTCATTAGTTGGCTTTGAAATTCGGTGACAGTGTGAGTAAAAACTAGTGAGTTTGGTTCGCATTATTCAATTCCTACTATTTCCCTTATGGGAGGTGAAATTTAAGAAGGTTATGAAATGAAAGGAAGGTGCTTTATATAGTAGAAAGATGGCAAACCACAATAGCTTTTTGAAATACACTCGGAATAGCCTGTGACAGGAGCCAATTTTGTTATATACATATGTTCTTTTTACTATCTTGACTAGTTAACTTAGGTTTATAACTATTTTGTGCACATTTATGAATTATATATATATACCGTCAATTCTCGATAATTCAAACTTTCGATAATACGAACCTCTTGCTAATTCGAAATATATGCTCAGCTCCTAGAAAAACTTGATAATTCGAACCAAACCCATATTTTTTGGTACTCTCAATGTTTCGAAGTAAAATTTGTGGTTGGCCAGACTACAACATGCGATAATTCGAAGTTATCCTATAAAACTCTCGATAATTCGAACCTTCACTATTATGAAGTTAGATTCACTTCCTGTACCTAACTATCCCACGAGCGATTTTCTTCACTGAACTTATTTTCAGTCCAAATTATGCATGTTGATAGAATAACTACTTTGTTTATTATATTTCCGGTATTTGCTAAGTAGAATTTTGATTTATTCCTAAGCCATCTGTTTTTTTTTCTTTTTCCGTTGATATCCAAGCTTTAGATGGATAAAGGAAAAACTAATTTCTTTTTTATTCACTGTGCAGTAATGAGTGATGCTTCCTTTTACAAATATTGCCCAATAATTTTGATTTGCTTTGAATATTTATTACTAATAATGAGTCACGTTTGAACAGATGTTTTTTTAATCAAGCACTCAAACTACATAAAAGATAATTCAGCAGAATCGTTTTATGGCAGAGAATTGAAAGCCAGAAATAAAACCTTTATATAAAAATGTGTACGAGGCAAAGACAGGAGAGACAGCGATTTAACTTTATAATTTTTTTTTAAAAAAGAGAGGTAATGTGCCACTAAGAATTGCTCCACGTGTCATCACTCCATAGTTTTCCACCCTTGCTATTAAGTATACCCTGTAGCTGAGTGTGAACTGTGAATACGCCTTGTGTTCATTTTATATAGATTCCAAATTTTAAATTAAAAATATTATTTTACTAAAGTTGTGGTGATTTACGTTTGCTACCTGTTAATTTCGATAAACCTTGGGCCACTACTTTACACCTCATCTCAGTGTCGACTTATCACGCGAAAGGAACGACATGTATTCTTTTAAAAAGAACAAGTGCTTAACAATTTCTGAAAAGCAAAAGGTCATATAATCAGTTGAAGAAGGTGAGAAGAAGGTCGATGTAGCCAAAGCATTTGAAATCCCACTGAGCTCGCTCTCCATTATTCTGAAGAATAAAGAGAAAATCTTTAGTGCATCTTCGAGTAGAGTGAGAAAACGCGTTAGTAAAGGTAATTTTCCACGTCTTGAACAGTGTTTAGTTAAATGGACGAGACAGTGTCGAGGACAGAATATTCCGATGGGTGGCTCTTTATTGAAGGAAAAAGCAAAAGCATTCGCCAAAGAATTAGGAGTTTTCGGCTAGCGAGGGATGGCTTACAAATTTTAAGAAAAGGAATGGGATAGTCTTCAAAAAATGTGTGGGTAAAGCTCAAGTGTCGACATTAACGTTTGTTCTAAGTGGCAGAACTCGCTTTTGGATCTAATAAAGGAGTACGAACCCCGTAACATTTTCAACACGGATGAAACCGAACTCTTTCAAGTGTTTGCCAGAAAAAACATTTACATTCATAAAAGAAAAATACCATGGAGGAAAACATAGCAAGGAGAGGTTAACTATTTTACTAACTGTAAACTTGGACGGATCAGAAAAGATTACTCCTCTCGTCATAGGAAAATCTGTAAAACCTCGGTGTTTCAAGGGCATAAACTCGTTCCCTACCAAATACCGCTCAAGCAAGAAGGCATGGATGACCACGAACTCTTTATAATGAATGGTTGGTCTCACTGAACTCGGATATGAAAAGAGGGAAACGACATATTCTCTTATTTTTAGACAACTGTACTGTGCACAATAACGCACCACCTTTATCAAATGTGAAACTTCAATTTTTCCCTCCAAACTCAACCTCAAAACTTCAGCCACTCGACCAAGGCATCATACATAATTTTAAAACTTTTTATTGGCGTGAAGTCGTTAAAAGCGTTTTGGATAACCTCGAAAATCAGCAGAATGTAACTTTCTATTTTAACAGCTTTGATCATGATTGACAAGGCTTGGAGAGCTGTTACTCCTTTGACAATTCGCAGCTGTTTTAAAAAGTCAGGCTTCCCCACGCCGAATCTGGTTGATGTGGACGATACACTCACCGAATTTAATGCTGAACCATCCCTTTGGGAAGCTCTTCCAGAACAAGATTTGACGTCTACGTGTTGGTTGACACGGACTTTGCTGTATGGGGAGCTATCGGACGCTGAAATTGTGGCTTTGAACCACAATAATACAGAAAGTGATGAAGATGAATCGGAGGAGTTGACTCCGGTAACTCTGTCAGAAGCTAAAGTATCACTGAATAAACTAAGCAACTTTTTCCTTCAAAATCATGTTGATGCAGACATTTTACAGGCTTCATTTATTCTAGAAAAATCTATTGACAAAGTTAGATTGAATGCCTTAAAACAAAAAAAAAGATAACAGATTTTTTCGACAAAAAGGATTAATTATATATAGTATGTATATTATTTTAATAGTTGTTTTCAAGGCATAAGCGTATTCTTTTAATATAGGAATTTTAACTTCTGTTTTATTTTTATACTGTATAAAATGTACTTTAAAAAAATTATACATATGTACAAGTGTTGCTTTATTACATACTTTTAAATTTAAATGTGTTGGGGAAAAAACTTCTTTTCATGTATTTTGAGAGTTTTTTTCCTACCCTCTTGATAATTCGAAATTTTTCATTGGTCCCTCCAACTTCGAATTACCTAGAGTCCACTGTATATATATATATATATGTATATATCTTTTTCAAATTTTCAATCGTTAATAAAATACTTTTTGTTCATCCACTCAGGTTCAAATACAATTTTTCAAACTTGTAGAAGATGCCACTTAACATTAATACTGTTTTTTCAAATACCAGTTCATTAAATGAATTTATAATTGATGAAGAAATAGTAACAAAAATAATACTTTAACACCATATATAAAAAGAAAAATCGCTCGTTGTGTCCCTGTGGTACAGGGGATAGCGGATTGGACTTCAAATTCAAAGGTCGTGGGTTAGAATCCCACCTGGGATGGCCTAATTTTCGGGATAGTGATTTCTTTTTACTATACTATTTTATTGGAATAATGAAATTTAATTAATGAATAAATAGTAACAAACAAAAATAATAGTCCAATGGCATATATAACAGTCTATCCGGTGTAGTGTTTAGTGATGCTGAATGCGGTGCCGTAGGGCATGGATTCGAATCCCGCAGATGTGGCATGGATGTTAGTGCTGGAATTCTTCAAGTCTTTAAAATTCCTTCTTTCATTGTGATGTGTGATTTACGCCTACATCTGTAAGTCCCCGTGGGATACTTTGGGGGCACAGAATTTATAAATATTCCCAATAAAAGAGGAAAAAAATCCACATTACATATAGAAAGGAAAATCGTTTTTATTTTCCAACCTAATATTGTGATTGTCTCATATGTATATATATATTTACATTAATTGTAATGATTTAATAAAAAGTAACCAAAATAAAAATTTTCTTTAATGGTCTTAATAGGAATAGACTTTAAAATTATTTTTTATAAAACTTATTTTTTCTATTTTAGAAGATTTTTTTTGCCAGAAGAATTGAAAAGAGCTCAGGGGGAAAGCGAACTGGTATTAAGCTTAAAATGAAGATGAACCTTCATCAAAAACAGAAGACGAAATCGGAAATCTGTAAAGCTTTTGGGACTACTTACTCACTTAAACTACAATAATTACAAAAAGTGAGCAAGTAACGTAATTGTTTGAAAAGCTTTTATTAAATACTTGCATATAAACATATTTAAGTAAATAAAATGTACTTTAATAAACTTAGTTTTGGTGAATATATGTTTTTTTTAAAAATATTCTTTGAACACGAAAAAATATTTCATTCCCTTTAATTTCATGTTAAACGATTTTCACTGTACATAATATGATCCAAAAGTTTAGGGACAAGGTGAGAAAACCTTACTCAGTAAAGTTCACAGCACCGAAACAAATCCACCTTCAAAGTAGTCCTCTTGGGCGACTATACATTTCTGCCAACGTTCGTATAACTTCTGGAGGCACAGCTGGAAGCTAATTTTCACGACCTTCCGTAAGGCCTCTTGTGATGCTATTTTCAATTCATCTGATGACACAAACCGACGTCCCTATAAAGGTTTTTACATTTATGGAAACAGGCAAATGTCACACGGGATTAAGTCTGTTGAATAGGGGAGGGGATGCAGAAACACATCCATGCGAGTATAACTCTTTTACCAATTGGGATCGATGTGCTGGTGCATTGTCATACAGAAGATACCAGTCGTCACTCTGTCAGAACTGAGGCCGTTTACAACGAATGGATTTCCACAAACGAAGCTTTTAAAAAATGTGAAGCCTCAGCGAGTTGCTCAAGTATTTGGCGACGATCTTTTCAAATACATTCAGACAACAACGCAACATTTTCCGCGTTCCGTGAAGTCGAAGGTCATCCAACGCGTTCATTATATTCCATGGATTCTCGGCCCTCTTTAAATCACCGATGTTATTCGTAAACCTTGGACCTTGCCATGATAGATTCACCCTTACTTAGCATTTCGAAAGTCTTCAATGGTATTTTACCAAAGCGTTAGCAGAATTTATTATTCAACACTGTTTGAGAAAAGCCATTTTTCTTTGATCGCGGAACAAAGCTAACTAGCTTCGGAAGATGATAACAGCGCGTGTATTTCAGTCACATGACATAAACTAAACCAACCTGGCCAGGAAAAGGAGGTTTGGGAAAATTCATTTCAAGTGGTTTAACATAAGGTACTTGCTTTCCTCTTCAGCAATGTCCGCAGTCCCCGAATTTTTGGGATTGTAATAAGTATATTTATTTGCAAATAAAAGTAATGTTTGAGATGCATTGATTCAGAAATATGTCGATAAAATATATATTTCATATAATGGGAGTATAATAATAAAAAAATAGGAAATTGATCCCACCTTTACCGCATCAGCTCTTAAGAAAAGTACAATCGGCTTGTATAGAAACCACAGACAAAATACTTGCTCTTTCTTGTGATGTTTTTTCCATCGTCGAAAGACTGTCATAAGATCTGAGGTCAAAACAAATTATAAGGAAAAAAATATATATATTATTAGTTGCATAAACAAAACTCTCATATTTTCACAAAAAACTTTATGATAATTTTATATAGAAACAAAGTTAATTGTATATTCATAACATTTTAAAATGGATATTTGTTTCATAAAATAAAATCAATGTATTCGATCATTAAATAAAATCAAATCTATATATTCAATAATATCCCTTATTTAAAAAAATACTAGGAACTCTGTATAAGTCACACAATTCATTTTTTACGTACATTTTAATGCGGCTGAGTGGAAAAAATATCACTATAAGTTTGTAAGAAATTAATATATTTTTTAAAAAATTTATGCCCTCAAAAAAATGTGAAATTTTTTTAAAAAAACTAAACCAAAGACATTTGCAAGGCACAATGTCTAATTAAAGAACTTTGAAATTTTGTTAATGTTTTAATGAAACATGAGTTTTAAAAAGTCATTGTAATGTCTTATCGATGTTTAAGCAGTAATTAGCAATTGCTTACGCCTTTCACCAATGGAAGTAATTTTATATCATGCGGAAAAAAAAACAATTTTCTATTATATCAAAATTTAATTCTTATCCATTCAATGTACGTGCTGAATAGACTATAAATGGATTGCATAAAATTTTATACCCGAGAAGATCTAAAATATTTGACATTGCGACTACTCTCCGTATAAAACTTTTGAAAAAGTATGTATATTCAAAAAAGATTTCATGCATATTGTGCGTACTTACGTTTCTGTACATCATATTTGGGATTTATCAAGTCCAATTTAATTACTTCTTTTAAATCTCCCAGGACATTAAAGAAACCTATCTTGTTTCCAGGAATGCATTGGAAAAACTTTTGCCTCCATAAGGAATATCGGTATAAAATTAACAAAATTCCACATATAAACGTAACAAAAATTATTAAAAACATTTTGAAAAAGCTGAATAATTAAAACTTTAAACGTTAAACTAACTGCAACTTTTTATACAGAATACATATGTTATCAGTTTGCATAATCGCACACAGTTTAATCTGTCTACTGAAAAAAAAATAACGCTATCGATAAGATTTTTTTTCTTGGGATGGAAATCTAATTCGATCATTTCGAGAATTCGAGGCCGCCGGTATCAATCTTCCCCGCCCAGAGTAGGGTTGGCTGCCTCGGGATCGTGGTGGTTTTTTTCCAATCCCGGGATTTAATTTTTCTCTGAATTATAAATTGAAGTTTTTTTTCCAAAGAATTGTGAATCTGGTATACATTTAATGTATCTTATTTACTTTTTTATACTATACGTTTAATGTCAGTTTTCTTACGTGTTGAACCTTGAAGGGTTCGAGGGGGGGGGGTATGTTAAACCGTGAAATTTGATATGTTTTCTCTTATTTACTTCTGTAACCTTCTACCTATCGCAAGTAGGGTCAGAAAGCGGACATTTCGCCCACCCTCAGGTTGTCCGGTGTCAGCTAACTGGGACAGAGGCAATTAGAATTTTTGGAAGATATCTAGTAGGGTTTTCAGTCCCGGAATTGCAAAACCCCAGGATCCCGGATTTTTACCAATCCGTAAATCCCGGAATTAAAATAACTAATTCCAGGATTTAATTTCTGTCTAAATTATATTTTAAAAAAAATTTCTCATAAAAAGTTTTCTAAGAGTTTAATTCTTCAAAAATTTATATTTTGAGAATGAAATATGTGCGTAGAATTTTTTTGGGTAATTATAAGTGCTATAGGTAAAAAAAATATGTGTACAGCTCTCATTTCTCGTATGGGAGAAGTCGCACAGATGTAAAGTAATGGTTTCCTAGGGAAGCGGCATCGTTCTTTAGCGTCCGTAACATAACGATGGATGACGTCACAGAAAAGACGGCTGTCTTTTAACGTTGACCGAGTGGTTTCCTACAAAACGAATGCTCTTACGTCCGTAACTGTAAACAATCAACTTTTTGTAAACAGACGACTGAGAATGGATGAACTCGATGTTGCGTTGCTAATTTAGTTGGAAACTGAGCAATCATCGGAAGAAGAAAGCAATCGCAACTAATTATTGACTGTATATATTTGACATATTTTTTATATACTGTAATTTTATTATTTGTGTTCTTTTTTATATCAATAAATGAAATCAAAGAATTTTGATTATTTTATAGCATTAGTTCACTGAAATTAAAGAATTACAAAAACCATTATATAATTTCTAAGTAATTCCAAGGATTAATTTTCACCTAATATTCTTTTTCTCAAAATTAAACATTTTGAAAATTTAAAAGAATCTTTAAGCTTTCCCAAAACATCTAGCCAAATCCCATACATACTAATACCATATACTAATACCAATAATGTTTTTGTACTGAATTGTGTACAAAGTTAATTGACTTCAAATACTTTATAATGCACAAAGAGACAAAATGCTTCAAAGAAACGTTATGTACATGTGTAAAGATAATACAATTAATCATGACATGATTTCATTATTTTATTCATATATTTCTTTTTTCCCACAGTTTAAATTAATTTTTAATTAGCAAATATTTAAACACTGAACAAAAACAAATACAAATGAAAAATATACAATTTTGATAAGTGTGTATTATTTAACTAAAATATAAGTTACTTCTATTATTGACAATAAAATAAGAGATTTTAAAAAACAAAGTCTAGTTTTTAATGGGATACACCTATTAGTATATAAATTTACAAGCAAATTGAATTCTAATTTTCTGTCTTATAAATTTCTGAAATATTGGCTGCTTCTTGATGTCTAATGTTATATAAAACATCGTTATTTCTTACGAAATCTATTAAAATTTCATCCTCTTCAGGAGTCCATAAAATATTCGAACTCATTTCTATGTTTAAAACAGCCACAGCTATCGTAAAAAACATTCAACGAACTGTTGCTACCAGCTATAACGATCGCAACGAACGTGCCAGAGCCGCTATTTCACGTTCCG